CTTTACTAGGTGAAGATCTAGGAACTTTATCATGCCCCCTACTCAATATTCAGCCGATTATATAATTATTTATATGTTCAAGTAGCAGGTTGTAAATGTTATAACGTTGATGGCATCAAAACATTCTCAAAAATATAGACTACGCCGTAGTAGCTTATTGATTTAACCTCCCGCCTCTCACGCAGAAGGTCGTGGGTTCGAATCCGGGCTTGCACCACTAAGTTTTCGGAGATTTTTCGCTGAAGGAAAACACCCTGAGGAAACCTGCGCACATCCCCAAAGCAAATTAATGTGTGTGTGAAGTTTACTTTTTTAATATTTTATTAATTTACTGCCCAAGTCCAAGTGGGCCTGTTATAGACTAAGTGTATAAAAAGTATAAAATAAAATATTATATCGCATTGCATCAAAAATATTGTCTATATATACCTAATCATGTTGCAATCATAATTATTATTATTATTATATAAATATGAAACATATCTATATGTATAAAGTTTCATCAAATTTGACGTTTCTCTGGCCCTCGGAGTACAAACTTTTACTTTAACTTTATCAAAGTTAATCTCCCGTCTTCGCCCGAAAATGTTTTGTTTATATCCAAGCCCGTACGGTCACATTATAACTTCTCGTAAAATAAATAGTTTTGAAAAAAAATGTGTTGCATTTTTCATAACGCCGATTTATTAGTACAGATAGTGATCAAAAACGCTTCAAGCAATTATAGAACTGGAGACATAGAAATCCAACAAGCCGCAGATGTTGATTCCTCGCTGCGCCTTGAAGTAGCCGTTCTCGCCAAATGTGGTGCCCCACGAGTTTTTGAATACCCAGTAGTTGACGCCATTTTCTGGGGGACACACCAAATACAAACAGATTAAAATCATTTAAAGCATAATTGTGAAGTATGCCAGATTAATTCTAATAAAAACCTCTACATGGCAATCTAAGAATATGTTATCTCTATTGCCGACCATGTGATCAACAATAGCGGTATCTTCTCCAATAAATTCAAAGTTGTAGCTAAACATGTATTCACTATGATATTTATCAACTAAACCTACCAGAACCATAGCCCACCAATAGCACTGCATGAAGTCCACGAGATCCTGGATAATGACGGCATTTAGTTACGAGTTTCCCATTGTAACCACCCATGTCGGTAGCATCGATAACTGTATAACATAAAAACAAAATTACAACTTTGACAGATCTATGAACCGTTTTTGATAAATTCAATAGGAATCGCTAACGTCGCTAGTCATTCTATATCTGGATTCGAACACACTATCTCTTATGCCAATAGCTTTTACGCTCATCGCGGGTAAAACGGGTTCGTAAATAATTATTACATTAACTCTTATAATTATATGTATAATTACTTTCTATAAAACTTGATGGATACAATTGTGTCTCTTGGAATGGTTATTAGATAACGAGGTGGCGAGGACGTTGAAATAATTTGTGACATGACATGATGTTTTCAGCAACAGTAGAGCTCGTTGCGAAAGAGTTCGTCCAGGGAAGTACTGCCACTTTACATATTTCTGCCGCCATGTAGTAACGTTAACATTACTGCGTTCCGGTTTTGAAGGATAAGGGTGATGGTGAAATTACAGACACATGGGACTTGACAACTTATGCCTCAGGGTGACGGGCGCAGTGGCAGTGCCCCTCAGATCTTTGCGATTAAAAGCTCTGAATGGCACGCAACTGTAATGGACAGGCGTGTAGCTTACCATAAGGTGCACGACTCGTTCGTCCCGTCACTTGATATTATAAAAAATGAATTGTGCAATGAAAATTACTATATATTTTTATGAATAATCTGCGCTGTTTGATTCTCTTGGCATTTCTCCGGCAGTGACTGGCTGGTTCCGCAGTTACCTGTATGGGCGGCGGCAGCGCATTCGTTGCGAGGATTCATTCTCTTCGTGGTGTAATGTTGTTGCTGGTGTACCGCAGGGCGGCGTATTATCCCCTCTTCTATTTTCTATTTTTATTAACTCCATCACTTCTTCACTTTCTTCTTCTTACCATCTCTATGCAGATGATCTCCAAATATATACACAGGCCCCTCTAACCAACTTACGTGACGCAATTTGTGCTACGAATATAGATCTTGAGAGGATTCTCACCTGGAGTCAATCATTTGGTCTCAGTGTCAACCCTTCCAAAACACAATGTATAATCATTGGCAGCCCCTGGTTCCTAACGCGTATTAATCCTTCCTTACTGCCACCTATCACGTTTGATAGCGTTCAAATCCCACTCAGTGCCACCGTTAGGAACCTTGGGGTTATTTTCGATAAGTGCTTATCGTGGAGGCCTCATGTCACGGAGTTGAGTAGGAGGGTGTTTGCTGCGCATGGGTCTCTTCGGCGTTTAGGTAATTATCTTCCCATTCCGACGAAAATCAGTTTAGCACAATCACTCCTTTTGCCTATTCTGGACTATGCAGATGCGTGCTATCCTGATTTGTCTGAATGTCCCCTCGGCAAACTAGAGCGGCTGCAGAATCTTTGCATTAGGTTCATTTATGGGTTACGTAAATTTGACCACGTCTCCGATTTTCGCTCGAAACTTAGATGGCTACCCATTCGTCGTCGTAGAGATCTCCGCGTTTTATCCCTACTGTACACTGTCCTTTTTAATCCAACTTCTCCTGCTTATCTTAAGAATTGTTTTGAATATCATAGCAGTACTCTCCCTCGCACCTTGCGCTCTTCTTCTACTCTTTCTCTGAACTGTCCTATCCATTCCTCAAAATACTTTTCCAACTCCTTCACTATTAGGAGCATCAAGCTGTGGAATGACCTGCCTGAGTCGATCAGACGAGCAAAGACTATTGAGTCATTTAAAATCCTAGTTAAGGCTCATTACCTTAAATTATAAATTCTACTCTGCTGTCTTATTTATTGGTTTTTTTTTTATTTTTTTATTTTCCTCTTCTGTGGTGATAATATATTTATTTGTATGTATTATATTGGTATTTAAGTATTTATGTAATTTATATGTTAGTAGATATTTATTATTTATTTCATTCATATATTATGATGTTTAATAATAATATCATATTTATTGCGCCCTCTATTATTATTACTACTTTTAGTTTATCCTATCACCCCAAGGTTGCCTGGCAGAGATTGCTATTTAGCAATAAGGCCGCCTGTTGTACACTGTATTTTTGATTGTATTGTATTTTTGGTTGTTTATTGTGCAATAAAGAATATTGAATTGAATTGAATTGAATACTATTTTAACTAGCAATCACGCAACAAGAAGATAACTACTACATAAATTCTGTGCCCCGCGATTGACGTTATTGATTTATATTCCATTATTTATCTTCATATGTCGTATACAATTGTGCCTACAGGCTAATAAATTTGTTTATATAGTTTTTTATATACGTCGTGTATCGCTCACCGACTGACAAAGGTCCGCGTTTGTGCAGCACTTTTTTGATGTCTTCCTCATTCGAGAAGCGCCACTTGTCGCACCCGGTCACTTGAACCCTCACCTTCCTTTTATCAAAGGAGCATCTCTGTTGCACAGGACTGTAAGGATAGTCTTTTTCCGTCATCACTCCACCAACTTGTTGGAGAAATCTGCCATAAGACATTTTGCAAACTTAATATCTTTATATTCGGTGTGAGCCAGATCTATGCGCTACAGATAGATGTATGATGCAGCTACAACATATTACGCTTTGCGTGGCATAAATGCTGCCATTTTATTAATTACGATGTACAACTGATTTGGGAGAAAGAATAGTTGAAATCATGAATATGTAGGTAGCATACGTGAAAGCCTGCCTCGGCCATCCTCCATCGCAGCCGGCTGCTTCGGTATCACAATCGAGGAGTTGTTTCTCAGATAAATGTATTATGCTCCCATGTTTAATGGCGTATTGGCCCTCCACATTACCTTTAACATAAAAATATAATAAAAAAAATAAAAAAGAATCTAATAAAAAAGCACCTGCTAAACATAGGCCTGGAGAAACAATCAACTGTAGAGACCCTTTCTTCTATTGTGAATTGAACTGTCAAACAGATATCATGAAGTGAGGTATTGGATGATGGGACGAGAGGCGAGAAGGTTATGAATGTGCAAAAGGAGGATAAAGTGACGATTGATTAAAGGAATTTTATTATAATTGCTTGTTCCAAATTAAACCCAAAAATAACCAAAGCAATGGATATGTCACAAAGTATTTGCTAATTCCTTATTATGTCAGTTAGCCTTTTGGCTTTTCGACTTACCAATTGCAGAGAAAGTCCAGCAGGAACCACATTGTCCCTGAGCTTTAACACGTCCTACAGCGTTATAATTTCGCCAATCCCAGCTGGCTGGCGGATTGTCTTCGGGTGTCTGCTGTAATTTACAATTATCGCCGCCAAGTGGAACGTAACCAGTTCGGAGTTTCCCGAATTCGTCAGGAGATAAATCAGAATACTCATGGATCCCTGTTAGGGTGTTAAATATATGTATGTATAATAAATTAAACTCTTATCCCTGAACCGCATACACGTTCTAACGCAAATTCTTACCAAAGTCAGCAAGTGGGTTATCCAAATTTTGTTTGTTGTGCTTTATAAGAGACTGCTTAAATATTTCGAACCTATATGCCTTTTCTTCAGAACTATTATATTGCTTTCCGTACAAATCGATGAATTCTTGAAAATGTTCTTCCGCGTCTTCTAAATCGTACAGCAAGTCTGGATTCGCCAGAGCTGCCACGACAGCGGTCAAAAGAACAAACGCAAACGTAACCATTATTGTTCGGTTAGCAGTGGGTGGTACCGTTGAATGGCGGCTGACAGCCTGCTGGGCTTTATTTACACATGGGTGGTATCACAAAATGTATTTAAGCATTCCAATTGTTTTTCTTATCATTCTACGCAGAAATGCGTTTTTATATTGCTAAATAACTGTTCGAATTTTTGTTGAAAATCTAGTTTTATCGCAAGTATGTGAGACAAGACTAACTACTAAGTAACTACAAAAGTATTATTATTTTTCAATGTAACTAGAAGTTCAGCATATTTTGACAAGGCACAATTTCCAAACGATAAAATTTTACTATTTTAACAACATTCACGTATATTTATACGAAGCTAGAATTTAGTCAAAAGTACAACAGAAAGTGCCAAATCGTTTATTTGAGCTGGCATTTAGACACTAGGTAACCTAGAAAAATCAGATCATCATGTCTATCTCAAGAAGTCCGAGTACATTTGCTGGTTTGGTACGACGTAATATCAAAATCAGTTCCGTCAGTTGTTTCCCGAACGGTCCACCTGTTTTCCCGATTCGTCTAATTTCCATTTTGTCTACTTTCCTGTTGATCTTGCGAATTTTATATTTCTGTATTCATATTAGCTAATAGAAGTAAATCAAAGAATCTGTAGGTAATTATGATTGTACAGTGATTGGCCATTGGCTGTGGATAACTCGATGCAGTAAGGCTGAAGACACGCCCGTCTCTTCAGCCGAGTAATTTGTTGCGAATGTAATATTAATTTCCTTTAAAACGTAGTTTTCCGATCTTAATGAAATTCGCTGAATGGACATTCACAGCCACTTCAAACCACTGTAATGTTTTGAAGTGGCTTCGGATTACATACACTGTTTCAAAGAAGCACAGAAAAACATGATATAACCGTTTTGTATGGTATCATCGACGATATATTTTACTTTTTCAATTTGGAACAGACAAGTTTTTAGTTTTTTCAAGTTCTGGATAAACTTACAAATACTTTGTAGGAAAAAATGTGAAATTATAGTATAAATGGTATAAACCGACCTGCGTCACAATCTCTAAATCTCTCCCGACCCGGGAATTGAACTTTGGCCCTCTGCGCGGCAGTCCGGCATGGTAGCCGTTCGGCCAGTTGCCTTTGAGAGGGTGTCGTTAATATTGTCATAGTTAACGTCATTTCTGTCTGCTTTAAAAATCAAGGCAATCTGTTTTAAAAATGACATGCTTTAAATCATGTTATTTATGTAAAAAATTGTGATCAATTGCGATTATACCCATTATTATATACTATAAAAGTCATATGTATTAGGCTTCATCAAACTTAACGTTTTTCTAATAAGTCTCAAGCATTACAATTAGAAAACATTATTTCTTATCTTATTTTAAGAACGAGGCTCTTTTCGGCGATCAAACGCCTTTTTTCACTTTCTCAAAATTGCTCTCCCGTCTTCGCTTGACAATAATGTTATATTATTTGTAAGCCCGTACTGTTCCATTATAACATGTTACAAATTAAAAAGTGTTGAAAATAAAAAGCATTTTTCATAACGTTGCTTTATTGGTACACGTATTGACCGAAAACGCTTCAAGCTACTATAGAACTGCTCAGTAGAAAATCCATAATGCCGCAGGCGTTGACTCCTCGCGGCACCTTGAAGTAGCCTTTCTCGCCGTATACGGTGCCCCATGAGTTTTTCAGTATCCAGTAGTCTACGCCATTCTCTGGAGGACATAAGAAGAATTACCATTACATTAAAACAATACATTCGGACAAATCAAATGTCATATGGAAAATTATTCAAAGGGCAATAAATAAATAATAAATAATAACGCACACACTCAACCTAATAGCCCCGCACTAGGGAAACCCTGTCTCGCGGGTGCCATGGACACAAAGAGAAAACCACAAATTACACCCAAACTCCGAGAGAAATAAATGTAGGCCATACAAGTATTTCTCCCGGCCCAGGAATCGAACCTGGGACCTCTGCGTGGCAGTTCGGCATGGTAACCGTTCGCCCACGGGGGCAGTTATAATATAATAAAGAAGTATGACAGATTAATTATGCCGGAAGATGGTAATCTAAGAATCTTTATTGCCGACCATTTGACCAGCAAAAGCGTCATTTGTGGTTAATACAAAGTTGACTGATTCACATGCGGATATATCAAATATGCTTACCAGAACCATACCCCACCAATAGCACTGCATGTAATTCTGTAGTTAGTGGATAATGAAGACATTGCTTTAAGACTCCCCCGTGGTAACCTTTTATGTCGGTAGGGTCGATAACTGTTTAACATATAAACAAAATTACAATTCGCATTAAATCTAAGGCTGCATTTTCAACTCTGGCGCAATAGTGCAACTTAACCTGTCTATGAACCGTTTTTGATAAATGCGAAAGGGATCGCAAACTGCATAGAAACCGGCTAAGTAATTCTGTGGAATTGCCGAATAAAGTTGTGACATGACAAATTTTTTCAACGAATTATTTAAATGAGAATATTATTTCATTTTTAAAGAATATTTTGTAACTAGCACAACGAAACAATGAGATAATACTGAATTTACTCATCAGAAAAATGTTCTGTACTTTTTCTAATCCCAGAACAGTTTCTCGCGAGTGCTGTGCCCCGTGATGGCCGTTATTGCTCGACTCATATTTCATATTTATTTTCATATGTCATATACAATTGTGGCCACAGGCTAATACTTTCACTTATACTCTTTTTTATATATGCCGTGTATCGCTCACCAACTGACAAAGGTCCGCGTTTGTGCAGAACTTTTTTGATATCGTCTTCGTTGCTGATGTACCACATCTCGCACCCGATCACTTGGACCTTCACCTTCCCCTTATCAAATGAGCATTTATCTTGCACAGGCCTGTAAGGATAGTCTTCTTCCGCTACCACTCCACCAACTTGTTGGAGAAATCTGCGATAAAACATTTTGCCTGACTTGATATCTTTAGACTCCAATTAATTAAAATTTTAGGGGTACTAAGTTTGGTGGTTGGTTTGGTGAGTGAAACTTGTTGTCTGAATCAGGAACCATATCAATTTGTATAAACGGGTTTAGTAAAGTGTATTTTATATGGCTCTTAAATAGCTAACAAAACGTAAATTAGGCTAGTGTACATCTCTAGGAGACGACACTGGAAATTACAGCGTATAACCGATTTGGGAGAAAGAATAGGTAACATACTCGATAGCCCGAACCGTCGATCCGCCGCTGCAGCCCTTTGCGTTGGTGTCACAATCGACGAGTTCCTTCTCAGACAATGATAATATGTTCCCATGTTTAATGGCGTATTGACCCTCCACATTACCTTTTGGAGAAAAAATAGTAAATAAAAGAATGTGTGCACCTGCTAAACAAAGGCCTAGAGAATACAAACAGTACCAGAGACCTTTTCTTATATTGTGTTAGATTTAAGTTCTTTAGAACGGGAATTGATCTGTCAAAGAGATATCGAGTTTTTAGGTTTTCGCGATTGTTACACATAGGAAATGAGACTGTTTTTCCGGATTTAAATCGCGTATATTTGGTTTTTTCAAACAAACCGACGTTTCGGGCCCTTTACCGGTCAATCGTGACCATGGGACCTGTAAAGGGCCCGAAACGTCGGTTTGTTTGAAAAAACAAATATACTCGATTTAAATCTGGAAAAACAGTTTCATTTCCTGTGTCAAAGAGATATTATAATGTGTGGTATTGGATGATGGGACGAGAGGAGCAAGGACGTTGTGAATGTCAAAAAGGAGGATAAAGTGACGATTGATTAACCTAAAGGAACTTTAATTTATTTGTTTCTTCCAAATTAAACTCGAAAAAAAACCTACGCAATGGATATGACACAAAGTATGTGCCAATCCAGTTACTATGTTAATTAACCTTTTAGCTTTTGGACTTACCAATTACAGAGAAAGCCCAGCAGGCACCACATTTTCCCTGATTTTTAACGAGTCCTACAGCGTTATGATTGCGCCAATCCCAGCTAGCTGGCGGATTGTCTTCAGGTGTCGCCTGTAATGTACAATTATCGCCGCCAAGTGGAACGTAACCAGTTCGGAGTTTCCCGAATTCGTCAGGAGATAAATCAGAATACTCATGGACCCCTGTTAGGGTGTGAAATACAATATGTATAATAGATTATTCTTATCCCTGAACCGCATACACATCCTAAGGCAAATTCTTACCAAAGTCAGCAAGTGGATTTTTCAAATTTTGTTTGTTGTACTCTATAAGTGACTGCTTAAATATTTCAAACCTATATGCCTCTTCTTCTGAACTATTATATAGCTTTCCGTACGAATCCATGAATTCTTGAAAATGTTCTTCCGCGTCTTCTAAGTCGTACAGTAAGTCTGGATTCGCCAGAACTGCCACGACAGCGGTCAAAAGAACAAACTCAAACTTAACCATTATTGTTAAATTAGCAGTGGGTGATACCGTCGAATGGCGGCTGACAGCCTGCTTGGCTTTATTTATAAATGGATGGTGTTTTAAAGTGCATTTAACCATTCCAAATGTTTTTCTTATCATTCTACGCATAAATGTGTTTTTATATTGCTAAATAACTTTTCGAATTTTGTTAAAAATCCAGTTTTATCGCAAATATGTCAAATTAGACTAACTACTATATACAAAGGCCATGTATCAACTCGAAATGCATATTTTGATGAGACTAAACTTCCAAACGATGAAATGTTTACTTAACAACATCCAGGTGCATATTTTTTTTTTTATACATGACAGGCAAATGACTCCACTCCACCTATTTATACGGAGCTAGAATTTAGCCAAAAGTACAACAGAAAGTGCCAAATTATTTGTTTGACTTGACATTTAGCCATTTAGTAACGTAGAAAAATCGGACCATCATATCCGTCTGTCTGGTTTGGTAGGACGTATTATCAAAATCAGTACCTTCGGTGATTTTCCCGATCGATCCACTTGTTTTTCCCGATCGATCCACTTGTTTTTCCCGATTCGATAATATTTGCTAGTAGAGTTAAAGCCAAAGTCAAAGAATCATTTATGCTACAGGTAAAATAAATAAACTTTGAAACATAGATTTTAGGAGGAGGGCGCTGCATTCGCCTAACGAACATCGCTCTGTGTTAATTTATTTAAAAAAAATAGCTACTATAAGTTTTCCAGTTCTTAATGTTTATATAAGTGTTCATAGTTGTTCAATTCGCCAGGAAAACTATTATCATCGTGAAATACCTAGTACTTTAAGGAATTTTAGAGCGTAAATATCGGCTACAAAATTTTCTCTGTGCGACTGTTAAACTTGTGTATGACTTTAAATTTTAGTAATAAAGAATAAAATTTCGTGATATATTCCTGCAAAATCAGTGAGTGTTGTGAAATTAATCAAAACAACAGGATAAAAAGTGTTTTTTAAAAAGGAGACTCCTTGCGTCGTTGCTACCGTTCGTTAAAAAAGTGTCTTGCTATTACCCACTTCGTCGCAACATTGAATAGATAACAGCTGAATACAAAACTGTACCATAATTTCGCCGGTACAACTTGTGTGCGCATTGGTCTAGCGGGATAGCGGCCGGATTCAGATTTCGACGCCCGCGGTTCGCATCTCAGACGCTGAAGGGTTTTCTGGGGAGTATTTCTTTTTCGTTTTTTTTTCATTTTTCATTATTATTATTTTATTATTGCTATTATTTAAAAAAAATTATACTATTATTATTATTTTGTCCTTTTACGTAAGTCACATAACATAACACATATTATAAATTACATACATACAACGCAACACTGAACTTGACTCCTTTTGCTTGACTTTTGTCAAACAAATCTCGGAGACAACGTACATTCATACATGCCATTAAAACACTTTTATTTAGTTATTTGCATTATTTTTATTACACAGAAAATTTAGTACAGACAGTTTTTAGCTTTAGTTGATTACCGTTACGTATATAAGTAGCTATCGATTAACACATTAACACTACAATAACTGTCGTGTATTTGCAAGCGGGTCTCAATTTACTTCAATACATTTGAAGTAGACTTTGATGTATTTGCTTGTATTATACAGACATACATACATAAAGTGCACGCCTGAGACCTTTAACTATTACATAATATATAATTTTTATTAACAATACCTCGTATATATTTATACATTTTGAGTAATTTTATTAATATTCTTTCCGTGCATAAGTTTTGTGAGCGAGATTTGTATGTTTTAGGTAGAATAGACCGGACAACCCTGGTTCATTTCAGTTATCTGATAGATTAAGGATTAGAAATAGACAATAGCTCACTGTGCTAGTGGGAACTTCGTATTTGGAAGAGGCCTGTGTACATAATTTACATATTTTTTTTAAGTACATTCTGTGCGCTTACATTCCATTTGATACATTCCAGTGACGCGATATCCAGTACAACATGATGACCAGGAGAATGTTGTCTGAAGAAAAGAGCAAGAAGATGGAAGCTGAGCTCAATGAACTGAGGGCACTGACAGATAGGCTTCTTGAAGAACGCGATGTATATGAAATGGAAATGCAGGCGCTCAAGACTTCACGAATGACATTAAAAGGGAAATTTGATGAAATTCGACGATTTTGTGAAGAATTAGAAAAAGAGTGCAAACGAAAGGAATTAATTATAGAGAGCTTCCGAGAAAATCACCAGGAACACGAAGATGCCTTAGACCGTATCAGGTTTCTTGAAAGACAGGTAAAGGAATCAAATGCTGAAGTTGCATCATTACACGAACAAAGCGGAAGTTACGACCACCTAACGACCTTGTCACTCCGTGATGAACTAGCTCTGGGAGACAGGAATGTATGCAACAGTAAATTATGCAGCACTAAATCGCCTAAGACCCAAGATTTTCCAAATTAACCAACCTGATAAGAAAGAAATCGAAAACTCTTAAGAAACTAAAATCAGAAAAATTAAATTTACACAAGGACAAGGTGAAGATGGCCGAACAAGTGAAAGATCTAGAGTTAGATCTTCAATCGCGAACTAAAGACCTACTTTCTACGCAGAAACAACTAGAAGAACATTCAGCTGCAACTAATGAGCTTTTAAAGCTGGGTACTGAGTATAGAGAACTTACTCAAGTCCTTCTTCACGATGAGCTTAGTGAAACAAATGGTCCAGTAGAAACAAATCAGACCCCGTCCCCACCACCCACATCATCAACGCAACCAACACGTGCATCGTATGCCAGCGTTGCTGCAGGAAAACGTGTCTGCTCCACTACAACTGTTGAAGTTCGACACAGTCAACGGTCAACCAAGACTATTAGAACTCCGACCAGGCCATCCAGAAGAACGGTAGTTTTTTCTGATAAAATAGGCGTAGGACTAGGCCACCACCTTAGTAACCACTTAAAACAAAGGGTAGTCAACTATTGCTATCCAGGAGCTACTTTTAGTCAAATTATTACACTGTTAAGTGATTGCAACTTTGATAAATATACAACAGTGATTCTTATAATAGGTGATAGTACTAACATTAGTAAAAAAGAAGTAAATAGTAGCATTGACGTGTTCTTGAGAATTCATGAGAAGTGTGGGTGTAAATTCATACTAAGTGCATTCCCTTACTGCTCTAACCTAGGCATCGCTCGTAATAAGTATATATACAACATAAATTCGCACATTCATAATTTGACTTGCCGTCATAGTGACGTTATATTTTGTTTTGATATTAATAAGTTCGTAAGGAACTTCAATCTTTTTGAGGATAATTTTACTTTTACCCCTAAGGTATCTAAGACATATAGCTAGTTTGCTATCTTTTAATATTAAGGACGCTGTTATAGAAGATATAACACAGTCCCACGACAATGCTCCTACATTAAGTAGCAACAGTATACTTTTTAATAAGCATAATTTAAACTAAAAAACACGACAACAGAAAAGTCTAATCGTTTCCATGTAGTACATCAAAATATTCAAGGCTTTTCTGGCAAAACATTAGAAATAAGTCTTTTTTTGCACGATATTTCCGTTGACGTGTTTTGTGTTACAGAACACTGGCTGAAAGATTACGAAGCCATTAACAATATAGAAAATTATGTAATAGTCAGTTCGTTCATAAGAAAGAGCTTAAGTAGAGGCGGATCCATGATTATTATTAAGCGTAACTTAAAATTTAAAGAGCGTAAGGATATCACAAATCTTTCTACTGAACGAACTATTGAGATTTCATGTGTGGAATTGGATCAGTTTGTCGTCTTATGTGTATACAGGCCCCCCTCTGCTAATTTTAACGAGTTTGATTTAATTATGGAAGACAGTTTAAAGCGGATTTTTCCAACCAAAAAAAACGTAGTAATATGTGGAGATTTCAATGTAAACCTGTTGGAAAACTGTTCTACTTCTGTAAGACTCATTAATTTATTTCAAAGTTTTAACT